CATCTTATGGCCCATCAGGCCATGTACAGTGTATATATGGGATACATGCGGGGACTAACTGAAACTGTGCATAGACGTTTTTTGAGTCGAGTTACTTAATTGTGATGAAGTGATTCAACATTGACAAATTGTTTTGTATGTGTCACAGTGATGCAATGGAAACAGATGACAAGGCGGGAAGCTCTCCCGCTGGAAAGCTGGCAGAAACGGTATGCTTTTTCAATCATTTTGTACTGTATCACTTTTTTCATTCAAGGTGCTTGTAATCTTTCTGTGTCTAAACAGAGCAGCTTTGGTATGGTTGACAGCTCATCATATCGCTTCTCTGTGCTTTGCAGAAAGATGAGCCCAAAGACCAGAACGCCAAGATGATCAAAATCCTTAGCGGGGAGATGGCCATCGAACTGCACTTGCAGTTCCTAATCCGAAATAACAACACAGATTTAATGATCCTCAAAAACACAAAGGTATTGTAGATGAGAAACAAGATGAATTCAGAAAATGAATAAAAACACTTGTTTACACATTCAGGTGAACTGCAGCTTCCTCCTGAGCTCTAGTTTTTTTCTGTCACTCCAGGATGCAGTCCGAAATTCGGTGTGCCACACAGCCACAGTAATAGCCAACTCTTTCATGCACACGGGTACCACAAGTGACCAGTTCCTCAGGTAATTGTGACAGCAGAACGGAAATGTATATGACATATATTGCACAAAGACATAGAGAAACATACTTACTCTAAGTGACATTAAGACTAACATTTTTGTTTGGCCCTTGTAGAGAAAACTTGGAGTGGCTTGCAAGAGCTACCAACTGGGCAAAGTTCACAGCCACAGCAAGTCTGGGTGTCATCCACAAGGTAGATTTCTGTCATTATCATGATGATACGGTGCAAATCAAAAAAACAGACAGTTTTATTCCAAATTTTTAATATAACATGGTGTGTTTTTCAGGGTCATGAGAAGGAGGCTCTCCAGTTAATGGCCACCTACTTGCCCAAAGACACTTCCCCTGGCTCGGCCTACCAGGAGGGAGGAGGCTTGTATGCTCTGGGACTCATTCATGCCAACCATGGCGGGGACATCATCGACTACCTGCTCAGTCAACTCAAGAATGCCAGCAATGATGTGAGGTTTTTTGTTTAATCTACTTTTTATGATGGTTCTTTGAGAACTATATACTAGAATGTGACTCATGAAATGATTGCTGAATTAAGAAGTCAACTGTTTTGAACTTGGTTATAAGATAATACAATTTATGTTAACAAACCTGTGGTGCTTTAGAATTAAAAGCCTCAAGTATAAGTGTGTAGCAGAGACCAGCAGCTAGTTACAGCCACTGTGTCAAATGATTAATTTATTTTTCAGTGTCTTCATGGTCTATTTCTTTTCCTCTGTTTCACAGATTGTTCGTCATGGTGGTGCTCTTGGCCTTGGTTTAGCTGCATTGGGCACAGCCAGACAGGATGTTTACGACCTTCTGAAATCCAACCTGTACCAGGATGATGCTGTTACTGGTGTGTACAGAATCATTTTTTGAATTGCATGATGACAGTCTAGTTTTTGATCCTCACCACTCTGCTTTCTAAAAAGTAATCTTTTACTAAAATTGCAGGAAAAAAATCTGTCATTAATACCTTTTACTTCCTCCTTTTCCTGACCTAATCAAATATATTTGGATAACAATAGATTCGGGTTGCACAGAAATAATGAAGAATATTAACAAATTAATAATGAAATGCTTGAATATGAAAACTGTCTTTTTAAAAGAATAATGTTTGGCTCAACAAATGTAGAAACAAAGAGGTGTCTACACCGGTATCAATATTAATGTTAATGATTTAGTAATGTACACGAGTAAACATCTGTTGGTTTAAAAAGAAAAACAAAACAAGCCATGCTGACAATATCATGTAACCTCTCTCAGGTGAAGCTGCGGGCCTGGCCCTGGGTCTGGTCATGCTGGGCTCCAAGTCGGCCCAGGCCATTGAGGACATGGTAGGCTATGCTCAGGAGACCCAGCATGAGAAGATCTTGCGTGGTCTGGCTGTGGGAATTGCCCTGGTCATGTACGGACGCATGGAGGAGGCTGATGCCCTCATTGAAAGCCTCTGCAGAGACAAGGTAAGGCTGAAAAGCCATCAGAAAGCACATCATGTACACCACGAGATTGGAGTTGTTTTGTTTTCCAGCAGAAATAAAGAATGTCATACTTTGTTTTTGTAGCATTGGTGCAGTTTATGGAAATAGTAACACAATAAGTTTGAAAGAAGGAATTGGGGATGGCATTAAAAAAACTCTGTACCTCTAGGTCATTGCTCTCCATAAATCTTATAGATGTAATATGCAGTCCCAGTGTTTGATGTATTAAGCCCTGTATGTACTCGTACAACCGCAGGTTGTGTGTGCATTTCGAGTCACACAGAGGCTTTTCCTCTGTACTTCGGGCCAAGAATCCTTCTATAAGAGGTTGATGTGGGAAATGACTGAAACTTTGTTAACTGTAATTGTTCATCCAGAGGCAAAGTCTCAACATCTGCTTTCCTTCACTGTCTATGATAGGATCCCATCCTGCGGCGCTCTGGTATGTACACAGTGGGCATGGCCTACTGCGGCTCCGGGAACAACAAGGCCATCAGACGCCTGCTACATGTCGCTGTAAGTGTTTTCTGTTTGGCCCTCCTTACAACACGTTATTTCACAGAGGGGAAGACAGGTTTATCATTCTGGCAGTGGAGCAGACTCAAGCAGCAATGGCTGTGACTGTGGCTGGCATCATAATTCAGATTAGTTTACTACTCTGATTATGATTGTTTAAAAAATCTGTACTTAGTTCTATTGGGGGAGAAATATTCAGCTTTAACATCAGTGTTTTCCTGTTTGTGCCTGAATTTAATTTGGGGCCTCACTGTTGCAGAACTTAACTTAAAGAAGGAAAACAAAAGACTATTACATTACAGTTTAATTACAATAAATGTATGTGTATGCCAGTCATTGTACTTGTAGTGCAAATACAATTTTCAACTTAACTTCAGCAGAGTGAACAACTTGTTGTCCTGTAGGTGGCACCTTACTCAAGCTAAAGTTATTAGATGGCATAACAGCGAAGTATATTCCTCACACTGTGAGCCATAGGAGATCTACACCATGAAAGTTAATCAACAAATTTGATGACTGTCAGTATTAGTTTTTCGTTAGTTGACAGTTTTGCTTTTCCTAATAAAGGTGAGTGACGTGAATGATGATGTGAGAAGGGCCGCTGTCGAGTCCATTGGCTTCATCTTGTTCAGGTAAGGACCAGACTGAATTACCTGAGTTCTGAACGCTGTTTATTTCTTTGCATACACCAGAGGCCTTTCTCTCTGGAGCTTTGCGGTCCTCAGCTGAAATTCTAGTTATTTATCTGCCCCTACTTTTACACGCACTGCTTTGTGTTAAGACAAAGTAAAAGTAAAACCAGCAACAATGCATTTGTGTAGTTTGCTCATTTGGTTTCAAAAGTGTTCTGTAGAAAAAAGACTTTTATATTTCTCATGATGTGCTACAGAAAGGAGTATAGTTTGGGTACAGTACTGAAGCTCAGCTGTATTGACAATAGCATAGAAAAGCTCTGAACTGTAGCCAGTCCAACTGTTTTTGACATTTACCTCTAAAATAGGCTCCAGATGAAGAAGGAGGTTACACTGTATATTGTGCAACAATGTGTTTATCACAAATATGACACAGAAATATTTCAGCTTTTCGTACAAAGTGTAACTCTTAATCAAATTAATTTGTCCTTATTTGATAAGGATCGGTAAAAACATTTGGATGTTTAAAACAAATGATGATAACAGATGCACAGTGTGGACATAGCACTGCTTTGGGTGAACCATTGCAATCCCCTTGTTTTAAAAATTCAGCATTTGTTGTTTTGGTTGTCTTACTTTATTCTTTCTTCTATTACCACGGGTCTTAGTTTTGTAGTTTTCTACTGCTGATGAGATGTAGCTGTATGTTTACACCTTGGCTGTGGTGTGATTTTGATGCTCTATTGTCTGGATTTGGAAATGACTTTCTGGTCCTCATGGAAAGTATTTCTGTGTCAAAGGAAGCTGGACGTACTTGTCATTGTCACTCACACATTTTCCTTCGTGACTATTTATAGGGATTCCACACTCTTAGAACGATGTGAATTTACCCATCAGAGACCAGAGCAGTGTTAAACACAGCGCCTAGCCAGTGCACAAATATCAGGGTGTAAATTTTAAGCCCAAAAAAGGCTATGTGATATTCAGTGTGATCAATGGGCCGCTAGATAAACTTTGTGTAAATCTTCACTGTGTTTAGAAAGACTTCTGTACCAGAACAATTCAGTTGGCCTCCTCTTCTCCAACTTCCTAATGGCTCCGGGAAAACTCCCTTCACTCCCCCAACATGCAGACTAGCACGCAATAAGGGCTGCTTTGAGTTCAGATATCTTAAGTCTCTGCTACTCTTATAAGATCAACAGAGTTTCTGTTCATTAACAGTGAGACAGAGTCGGTCTAGGCCATAATAAAACTGCGACGCACTCCAAACTCGCATACCAAGCTTGTGGACCCTTATCCAAATCTCATATTTATTGCCACATTACTCAAGCACTGTTTAGATTTTGTTAACTAGGTTTAATATAGTGTGTTTAAACTATTATGTAAATTGATGGCTGTAGTAAGATGCTACAAACTGCTATTGTTAAGTATAAAAGGGCAGTAAAAAATAGTGCTGAGTACACTGTCACAACGTACTGTACTATCGCAGTATTTTCTGTCTTAGTTACACTGTTTATTTGGTTGTCCTGTCCTTTGGTTGTGCTTCAGTCAACGCTGGTTCGCGAAAAATACATTTTCACTGGCTGATGCATGAGAGTGAAGACATCGACAGTGAAAGAAAATGGACGCTTACAGTTAGTTCAGTTTTCTGTCAGTTTAGCAACACAAAAAACTTTATTTAACACATTTAGGTTTCTATTTAATCTGGTTGTTGTTCTTTATTATATACAGTCTTCTATTTGGAAACCTGTTAACATGTCAAAACATCAGGCTGAAGTACACATGCAAGAGTGCTTCTCAAAGGTCCGGCAGATACGATAATCATTTCAAGAGTGCAATACATTTTATGTGTCTGTTGTAGAAAAGATTTAAAAGGTAGAGTTGTGTTTGTCTTAACAAAATGTAAGCATGTGGTCAGAGATGGTCCTCACCATGTTCACATAGCCCAAGTAAAAGGATCGGCATTGGAATACATTGTATATAGCATTCACAGAGAGTTTCCAGGTCATGATTATGTCTTCATTCCTCACATAATTGTCTGGTGGCCTGAACTTTGTCAGCTTTTGACCTTTCATAGAGGACATCCTCCTGTCTTCTCGTTTTAGTTAACCTGTTACAGGTCATCTCATGGTTTTATAACGTTTGACAACTCAAACTCTCTTCTTATACGCTTTGAAGTGTCTTGTCGTCTTAAAGAATTCACATTGTTAATATAGCCTGTCCTAAAGGCCCCCTTGAGAAATATTTCGACCCTATATATTCACATATATCACAGAGGAGTTTGACTTATGGATAAAATGGGTTTCCAAAATTATCATGATTTAAATTATGGCTAGATTTTATCTTCAATAAAAACATAACAGATTCCAAATCATGCATTTTGTTGTGGGGGTATGCCTTTGTCTTTAGAGAGATTTTAAAAAATGTTTGCACCATAGATTTGATCTACTTCAAGTGCTCCCTTTTTAATTAGATTCATTTGTCGGGTATTTCTAGACAAAGCTAATGTGTTCTTCCTGCTTATTACCTTCATTATCAGTCAGAAGCATTGTGTCTAACACAACGCCACTGGATGCTTGAACAGATGCTTGACGGCACCTTATTGGACTTTGGTAGCTAACTGTCCCAATGCCATTCTTCATTCCCCGCTTCATGAACAGTTTAGAGTTTTCTGCCATAGAAGATCTAAAGGAAATCCTCGTAAAGGTCCGATCTGCATTTGATGTTCTTGGGTTCTGTCCTGGCCCATGACAAGCAGGGCTTTCATAATTACAGGTGATGTAACGCGTGAACGCTTGCCTGAAAGTTTTGTTAAATAGGGTGTAGACCAACGGGTTGATGCCTGATGACACATAACCCACCCAAACAAAGATCTCCATGAGGCGGGCGATTATATGAACATCACAGCTGGTACATAGCACCGAGGTGATATTAGTGATGAAGAAAGGGCACCACATAACGACAAACAGGAGGAAGACGATGCCAAGCACCTTTGAGGCGCGTTGCTCATTGCTCAGAGTCTGCATTGACTTCTTGCCCATTGTTGACATTCTCCGAAAGGACATTTCATCTCCTGTAGTAGAGTTTGTCGTGCCTGTATGTGGTTTTTCTTGCATTCTGGGAAGTCTGCCATCCAGCATGTTCAGTTGCTCGGCTTGAGGTGGAGTCCCACCGTGTTCCCTTTGAAAAACTGTGGCGATTGTCGGGTAGCTAAAGCGCTGAGTCACCTTTGACCTGAGCAAATAAACCTTTTTGCGCAACACTTGGACAGTGAGTAGGTAGATGACCATCATGATGGTCAGAGGGATGAAAAATGCTGCCAAGGAGCCAAACATGATAAACTCCCGGAAGGTGTCTGTTTTCAGCAGGCATGTGTGGTTACTGTTGAAGGTGATGTTGTTGGGAAGGTGGTTGTTCCTAAGCCCCTTTATTGGAATCGGGATTGCGATACCTGGAAAATGAAAACAGAAAACCGTTAGAATTGGCAAACATTGGCAGTCATCTAGGGTTTTTGTAATATTGATGAATTATTTTGCTTTTGATGTTTTTATTAATAAATTATGCATCGGTATGTGTATAGGCTCGCATCCTTGCTGATATGCAATCCAGCATTTTAGGCAGTATTGGAGGCATTTCCGATCCTGGTATCGGTATTGGAACAACTCTATCAACAACAGTAGTGTTTCTTTTTCATCTCAGTTACAGACATTCCCATGTTTAATTTTTCACTTCATGTGTATGGTAGGAGTAGTAGAAACAGACAAAACATTCATACTTGATAAAAGCATAGTGGTGTCAGGAATAAGCACGCACATGCTGATTGAATTGATATCCTTTTTTTGTTTTTAAAATCAAGTAAGCTAATCAGCCATGGCTCACCATGATCCCTCTAAACACTGCTAACAGCCAAAAAGTTTTTACCCTGACTGAATACTGGTGCTCGGTTTAGGTGCTGCTCACTTCTTTCCATCCCATCGTCTGGCTTTGGCCATGAAGTGAAGCTCAAATGAAATCAAATCCATCAGCCAAACCAACTGCATTTAGTGGTCTGAGTACTGGGCATTGAGCATTGAGCAGTAATACCTCAGTGAATTCAGCCACATTTTTACACCCTAGTGTTAATGGACAGAAGCTACTTTTTAGTTTCCTGCTGTAGAGCAGAAATTATTAGCAGATCTTGAACAATGACTCAACACCCATACAAGACCTTTTGTAGGAAAAGTACAGAAAGATTATTAAAGTTTCAAGTTATTTACTATTAAATGCACAGCAATTACAGAGGCTATAAAAATCTTGGGTCTCAAGCTCCCTCTAACAATGCTAATTAAATATGTTAAAAAAAATCACACAAGTAAAAACAAAATGAGAATCTAAGAAAAACTTTTAACAACAGGAGTGACAACACAGTCTCCCATCAAAGGGACTGGCAAGCAGCCTAACCAACCTCTCTACCAAAGCTTTCTGTTCCTACATCCCTACATTCATAAAACAGTAAAGCTCACTTCATTAGGAACTCATTTAATTAGCTTGCTTCAAATGCACAAGCCACATTGCCCTTTGGACAAACTGAGTGATACTTCTGTCCCAGCCCTTCAGCTCCCTCATCTCCTTCCCATATACACTGCAGCCAGCAGGTTGCTGTTTATACAGTATCTGCTTTTATTGCATCCGGCATATATTCTTGGGTCTGTAAACCAGCTCTGACTTGGATGTTATGTCAAGAAATAAGATTGTTAAAAACTGTTGTAAAAACTACTGTAGAGTTGGAAAAGTTAAGGAGTTAAGTTAAGGAAATCTGAAATGATATGCTTACCAATGGATATGAGCCACACCAGTGCAATCTTCACCATCGCTTTGGCTCTGGATTTGTACTGGCTGTGTTGAATTGGCTTCTTGATGGCAATGTAGCGATCCAGTGAAATGGCGCATAGGTGCATGATGGATGCGGTAGAAAACAGCACATCAAGGAACAGCCAGATGGGGCAGAGGGGCTCCGGAAGAGGCCAGTCAGAGTCTGAAGAGAAGATGAGAAGGAAATTAGTCCAGTAAGAAAATAAACAGTTGTCTTGCAGTTGTCGTTTTTTAAATTGTACGTCACTTATCTGTGGTAGCGTCTCTACGATCATTGACTTCCCATAATGTATTCATGTGGTTTACCTAATTTTCAGTCCAAAAAGCATTTGGTGTTACACACCACCAGTTATGGTAGATGGACCACAATGGCAAGGGATTAGAAGTAGCACTCATCCAAAAGATTGGTGTTTGTTTATCCCTGTGAGGAATGACTTTACTGGAAAAAGGAGGGTTCACTGACTGTTTATGGAGCTAAAAGCTCTTTATGTAGATGTGCTGGAGACTATGCTCAACAGTAGTGTTTATTTTCAGTTCCAGGCATAAAATTGGCAAGTAATTGTTCTGGCTTTTGTCCTGTCAACCATTAATATTACAAAAGACCGTTGTTGAAAATATTCCTTTACATAATTTTCTTTTGTAATGCCACCATCCCACTCTTTTCCTCGTACTGCTTTTCTGTGACACTTGGAACTTTTGAGTCATAGTTTTGATTAGGTTTCATCTGGAAAGCGCATTCATTGACAAATACTTTACGCATTCTCAAAGTAGACCCTTTGTACGTGTTTTGTGAAGTGTTTAGTCCCATGCCAAATTCAATAAACATTGTAGCTTGCAAGATCCAAGTAGCTGTGCAAGGGAACATATTTTTATTGTGTTTAATTGAATTAAGAAACTTTGAATGAGTAAACTATGGTGAGGCCTCTGTAGTTGGCCAGCACAGGGTCTTTGTGCTTTTGTTCTGTATTTGAGAGCATACTGTAAGGAATGAAAAACAGCAATACAGCTTTGTTTTTGTTGATTTTGTGGTTTGCTTTTGAAAATGTCCTTGTTCAAGAAACAGTCTATATAAATTGTTTCACTAATGGTAATGTATGTCCAGCAGTTTCTCATTACACAAGGCTGTGGTCAATGTCCTACATAGAAATTCATCTTATTGCTCTGTTTTTGTGACATTTGTTGTTGTTTAATATTTGCAAAACTCATCCAGACCGTTTAAAAACTTTCAGAGTATGTGGTCACAGGTCAAAATTGTTATGTCTAGATGGTTCTGCTTTTTGAAAGAATGCAATGAGGTTAATTATCAAAGAAACATACTATGTGTATTAGCTAAGTGTATATTTTCTTTTTTGTGGCTTTCGTTTATTCAAACAAAACTCAATGCCATATAAGCACAGCTACAGCTCTTTCAAGAAAAGAGGGAAGAGGATAGAGAGGCAGAGAAAATTTATATTTAAAGTGACTAGCAGAGAGAGATGAAAACGTTGACTCAGTTGGCAGTGCAGTGTGTTGAGAGATGATGCCTTGCAGGTACGATACTTAAGGAAGCAACACCAAATCATCTGTCCTTTCAAAAAATCTATTTTAAGTTTACAAGTGTGTCTGTTGACACTGCTCACATTTCAAACAAGCAGATCTCATATATTTGTCAAGGAGTTCCCTGTATACTTTGACTTCATCTGCCCAGCAGATGTGGAAAGTGACCGGCAGTCCTCACTAGTATAACAGTAAACCAGTCACATTCTTGTCTTGCTTTTTTAGGTGAAGCTTCTTGAACTTTGAATGTCCCCTCATGAATACAGAATACAGCCTGTGGCCTTACAGTTAGCTTGATCTTTTTATCTAAATCCATATGTCTACCAGCCTTGTGGTAGTTTGTCTTGTGTCAGTCATTAGGGAGTGTTTGCTGCAACGCGTATGTTCTGCTGGTAACAGTACTGACAGTATAACCTGTCTTTTACTGTGTGACTGTGCAACTTTTGTATCCTCCAGCCAAGGAAGGTCCACACTGTTGACAGACCTGCTGTGCTTCAAGCCAGCCTTTTATACTGTGTGTGCATTTTAATGTCCCCGTGACCCCTCGCTCCTCACCTCAGTTCTTTAAGCTTTATTTCCATACAAAAGAAAATCCTTTGGGAGTTTCCCCATTTGAAAACTTCCTCAATTCACCTTAACCTACAAATATGAGAAATATTATTCACTTCCCTGCCTAGTTAGTGTCACTTCAGTGCACCTGCTGGGCAGCTGCTCCACACTGACTCTTTTATCCGTCACATTAGTCTCATGTTCTACCTGTAAGATCCACTTTTTAATGCCTTTTAATTCGTCATCTGTGATGTGAAAACATCAGATTTCCTCGCAGAAAAAGTAAAAGTGTACGTCGTGGACATTGTTTAGCTAATCCTTGCATGTCATAGTGCATCTCTCCTGTCAGGTGCCAAACAGTCCGTTACTATGGCCAGCATTGAAACACGTTGTACCAGATTCTGGTCCAAAAGTAGTTTAGCGGACTTCGTTGATATTCAGCATCGGAGCAGCAAACAGACACAATTCCCACTGCCATGCCTTGAGGTGTTACCCTGCTCTCCATTTCCATTTCCATGGTGTTTTTTAAATAACTTTGACTACTACCATACACAGATATGCACTGGTACATGCATGAATGCTTTCACACCTGAACTGCATTGGTTCTCAACCTAAGGATGGGACTTTTTATCAGGCCATGAGAGAAACTTTTGGAACTGAATGTGTACAGCCTGTAGACAGATTCAGTTCGAATACAGATGCAGTAGTAGATTAATTGCATGGTCCTTCGTGCTTATGTAGCCTCTTCATTATAATAAGATGAAAGCAGCACCTGTGACCAGTTTGATTTGCAACACATCCAGTTCTCATGCAAAATATGATAATTTAGACAGGCAAAAGCATCACACTAAACTCCACTATTATATGCATGAGACCTAATTATGATCTGGCCCATTATCCTATAGTTGAATTAATGGGGAATAACAGCTTGGCCATAGTTACGAATTTCACAGTTGCATTATGAAATAGAGAATCAAAGTCTAAGTAATTTCATATGCAGCTATATTTACACAGCACTGTCACTGGACTTAAATAAACCAGTTTTTGTTTCTATGGGTAAAGATCCCTCAGACCAGTGGATCAGTCCAAGCTGTGCTACCTTAGCCCTGCCGGAGGAAGTAGCTGTTTATTGTCCACTATCTCTTGGGATATTTCATTGAGAATAATTTGATTATTGTTCGTCAAGATTGTATCTAGGGTTACTGACAAACTATTTTTATCCTTCTTCGCTACCCGCGAGTATTTTTCCAGAGAAATGAGGGTCAGTTATTACAGTTGATACTCTCCTCCACTCACTTTAAAACAGTGGTCTTTTTAATTTTTGTTAGTAATAGTTTGCTTTGTTTGATGGGACTTTTAGATTAATGGCATTTATTTGTTTAACTTAACATTTCATATGAATGTTGTCAAGGAATTGGGTCAAGTATTTATTGCTTTTGTATCACACAGATTTCCAACACAAGGCTCCATGCCAATCTTACTGTAGAGAACAGTGACGAGGGCAATGGGCATCACTAGGAGTCCCACCAACAGATCAGCCACAGCAAGCGACATCAGAAAGTAGTTGGTGGCGTTCTGCAGCTTCCTCTCGAGTGACACAGCTAGAATGACCAGAATGTTTCCTCCAATCGTGGGGATGATGACCATGACAATAAGCAGGGCAGCCCATTTCAGCTCAGCCCCGGGCGCTTCTCCTGACTGTGAGCTATTAGCCTCAAGTGGAGCCGCGACTGCCTGAGACATGGTGCTGCAGAGGTTACAGCAGGCCTTAGCTTGGGTCGTGGCTCTGATCTTTCTGGTGCTGGGCACTCGGTCAGCATTGTCACTGCGTCCTACAGGCAAGGACACAGGGTGGGGTGGGACAGCTTAGGGTCAGTGCACAGGATGCTTCATCCGTTGTGTGCACTGTACAAGCCAAAAAGAATTGCTCAAAATCAAATGAGGATCCACTGATCGGTGGTGACAAAAATAAGGTAAACAGGTCTGACACCAGGAACTCCAATGCTGGCAATAATCCCAACACGATAAGTACTTCCACAGTGAGATGTTATCAGGGGTCCTCACTTTCCCAGGCAGCTGATGCTCTTGTCCAGGTCTTCCACTTAAAAGAACAAAAAGGTCTGTTAAGGAAACAGCAAAACCGTATTACCCATTTGCTTTAATTTGTCTAAATGGTCGCATGCGACGTTTATCGTAACAAATGAGGAACGTCTTTGCCATAATGTGGAAACAGTAATGGTCACCACACTGGAAATTTCTTTTCCATAATGTGGAAACAAGGTGGAAAATATTAGGAAAATTCCTTGTATGCATTTTCAATTTGGTTGCGTTATTCTGTAGTTTATTTTACCCATAAAAGTAATTAATAGAAGGTTTAAATAGTCTTGTATAACATTTCGTTGCACACTCAGTCACTTTGAATTTTACATTGAGATGTTTTTTCCATGTATTAAAACTATTTAAAAAACTTCTCCATGAGGCTTTAGATGAAAGATATATGGCTTGTCCCACTCTGTACTTAAGTCTGCAAAGATGTACACATGAGTGGACATGGAATGGATTATACAAAATCAAACTTGATTTAAAAAACAAAACAAAAAAAACACTGTCAAAAAGCATTGTCATAATTTTGCTTAAGTTTCTTACCTGCTCCTGAAGGTAACATCTGTTGTACATTTAAGTTCCTCGTTGACACTTCAACTCCTTCAGTATTTTTCCAAGCTGCTGCGTCTTAACTTTCAGGAACATTAAAGTAATATTTTGTGCTGGGAGAGCAGTGCATCTTAACGCCCAATGCATTTCAGTCTCTGCACACCTCTTAGGGGAGTTTAAGAAATATATTTAACAATCTCATCTTTATATTTCCACCCTCCCCGAATAATAAAGTGACAGAGAATGCCCTCCCTCAGCAGTAAAACTTAAATCTGTCTCTGTCTGAAGCAGCCCATGATGTGGAACTTGTTTTGCTTCCACATGTTGGAGGAACCCCCAGTCTTGTTTCGCATCACCTACCGCGATCACAGGTTTAAAACTTTCAGATGTTGTGGCTCCTCTGCCTCTCTCCCATTCCCACTCGCTGCCTCTCGTTCACAGCCTGTGATCAGCCTGCACTCTCTCCCGTCTTGTTCGCTCTCTTACTGTTCCCCTCCCTCCCCTCCGTCTTGCCCGTGAGTCAGACGCTGTGCAAAACAGATGAATGTCTTCATGCTGGCAGTACGCCAGTGGTTCTGGGAGGTAATTTCCCTCAACACAGCCGTCCCACTGTTTATATTTGTCACTTTCTGTTCTCTCCCCCATTCGAAGTCAAGCAGTGGTGGGGGATGTAGTAGTAGAAGCCTTCTGTGTGGTAAGGTGCTTGAAAATTGTACTTGTACCCCCATAGCTTTTTTATTTCGACCTCTGTGAGCTCACATTTTAAGGCTTGAGGAGTCATTTAAATACCTATCCTCATTTCTTCTGGATGATTACTTTTGAAATTTAGACCATATTTGTTTTTCTGCTTTAATCTTTCTGCCTTAACAGGTCAAAATGTTTTTTCTCTCAGTGTGCATTCATTGCTTTTAAAAGCAGATGCAAAACATTAAAAGATGCAAAAAATAAAAATATCCCCTGAGTTTACAGTAACCAGATGATGATTCTTCACAAGAAAATGTGTGAATTACAGCCAGTAATCCCCCACTTGGATGCATGTATCCTTATGTTTCCTGCTAAAGAGCAGTAAGTAGACCAACTGTTTCAGCTGAAACATGTTTCCTAATTTGCTCATGATGCCAATACTCCAATAAGAACTCAGATACATGGCATTACATGTATCAGGGAGTTCACAACTAATGGAAAGCATTGAAATACCCAGGAGAGAGCATTAGACCTTTACATGTGAACTGGAACAATGCACCCTGCGTACTAGGTCTGCTGTACAGTTTGGGAGGTAGCTTAAAAATGGCGCCCACAGCTTATCAAAAACCCTCTCATTCTCCTTCAAGACTGAGCTTAAGTGCTACATCTGCAAAACTTTTAAGATTTTTTCATACAACTGGTTAACAGTAGGAGGTCTGTGTTGAATTCATTGAAACGAAATGCATGCTCTTGCTAATAGAAGTTTGTTTTTGTTGGACACTTTCTGAATTTTTTTTAAATTTCTTTTATTTAACCAGGGAGGTTTCTGGGACCTGGCCAAGACAGCACATCAGTTACAGTTTAAACAGAAATAAAACATAGCAAACAGGGGAATTCAATCATCAAACACACAAGGAAGAAACTAAAACCTGCTCAGATAAAACTTGCATTTTTTATGACAACCACAAAGCTCAGCATGATGACGTTCTGTAGTCTCATTTTGCTGCTTATCTTTTTTAAGACATCTAAAAGCTTAAAAATTTACAAGGGAGGTATTTACTTATGTTTTTTAGGTGAAGGAAGCCTTAGCTCAAGAAGAGATGGAGCAGGGACCCCCCTACTTTATATATCATATAAAATTGAGTTGCATTGCACATAATTCTTCTTTCGGGTTTTCTTTTGTTTGCGCTTACCTGTAGCTGTGATATTAGCAGCTGTTGTGTAGCATGGCTAGGGGCAGTTCAGCTAAGTAGCCAATATCTTTCAGTCATACGTAAATTTAAGCTAATGACGCACTCGCTTGTCTCCCCTTCGCCAGATATTGGTTGATTTCTAATTGAGTTTAAGTGTCTACTAAGAAAGCAATGCAGCCTCTTGGCTTGTTCAGTGCAACATTGTCCAGGTACTTTCATGGTGTATTTTGGTGACTGGTTGTAACAGACAGGAAGCAAGCTAATAAGATCTGTTCTCTTACAATCTCAGTGCATTAGTAACTGCCACAATCACATTTCATGTGGCAAAATCAATCTGTAATGTGTTTAGCTCAGCTGGGCATCGCCTGGGAGCTGTAGACAGAGGGAATTATTAAGTTGCAGCTGTATCAGCCGCTGTCACTCACCGTAATAAATGTTAGGCATGCACATCACACACTCCATTAACCAGTCAACTAAAAAGGCCTGTGCATTTTTATAACCTTTAAGTAAATATTTTTAATTTGGCTCATATGACCAGTAAAGTCTTAAAGCCTATATTTTGTACAAAGGTGTGAACACAGGAGCAACACTGTGCACTGCTGGAGGGTTCATTTTGTCCAGATCATGGTGAATGATATGGTTATTCTTCTCCTAAGAATAAAGAATGGAATGTGTTAGGTTCGATCGTCCACAGCAGGGTGGATGCGTTTGCAAGCGTTCACAAGTGTTACATGTAATCTGCTTCTCTTATCTTTTCTCCCCTCATCTTTCAGTTCATTCTGAGGTTTTTAAGTCCATCACACATTATGATTATATTTAAGTAAGTCTTGAAATACAGACATCATTGCATCACTCCCTTTTCAGACGAAACAAATGCTGGATATTGATTTCTTCTCTCCATCTGAGTTCTTCCATTTTGCAAGGTAATTTGCTAATCTTTTACTTTGAAAAGGTTGGAAAGGCTTTAGATGAAACTATTTGAAAAGCCACAGCAATGTTTTCTCAAATTGTGCCCTTAAGCTGCTATAGTCCCTTATTGATTTTAAAACGTATCATAAATTAGGTCTCTGTGTCTAGCAATAAGAAAAAGAACCTTGAACTTTTTATGGCCTGGGTCATACTTTCAATGCCTAAAATCATAAATTTGCCTCTGAAGGCTTTACATTCTGCTCTGCACCCAAATACTGATTAAAGGGCGCTGTCAGACTACTAAAAAGAATAAACTCTATTGCTGTAGGTGAAATTGAAAGGTGATCTAGATCTCCAATAATCCTAGTGTAGTGTTTGAGCTGTGCTTCTAATATCAAACAGGCGAAGGGTAGATGATACTTTAAGAACATGCCACGACAGTGTACTGATGTCAAGGACTGATCATAAACCCAGAGACACTTGTACTCCCTCTTTTATTGTACATTATGTACAGTTAGACAGCACTATTAATGGTGTGTTGAATGGAGACAGAGGGACTCATTCATCTTGGCCACCTTCTATACTTTCATGCACTATTGAGGGCTCAATAAAATGTACAGTGATGCATTTTGTTTTTACTGTGTCCTACCTTGCCGTGTTTGAGCTTTTATTTGGTACAGTCCAATAAAATGGGGGCCAGTGAAATCACTTTCCTTTGCTAGAGCTGTCATGCTAAAAGTCTTTTGCTTATAAACTAACAATTGTATTGAAGGTAGTCAATGCAGGATTTTCCTAAAAAAACAATGTAAACACTTATAATAACGTTATCCCTCTCAATTATCACTTAAGACCCACTAGTAGTGTGTGCTGGCATTTTTATCTGTTTCTGTCTGTTTTTATTGACTTCTTATTTGGCTGTGTTCAGGATGTTCCTGGGCACAGAGTGCAGGTGAGGTTGGGACTTTACAAAAAGGTAGCGACCAGGTGCCAAACCATAAGCAAAAGGCATCCAATAGGAAGCTACAAAAGGCTATGGCACAAGCAAAAAAACCCCACAAATATAGCAAGACGAAACACCAAGCAGATGGCTTTCAATCTCGCTGGCAATACCGTTTTCAAACAGTAGCCAACAATTCCTGCATAGTACACCTTTTAACATTATTATTTATTTTTAGTATTTTTATTTTTTTTAAGTATTCATTTTGGGGTTTTTTTTGTTTTTAATGAATCATTGGGTAAATACATCAACTAAAACCAGTTGTTTTATAATCTGAGGGCCAAGTATTGCCAGGTTATTTACCATCTTTTTATTTTTATTTCATTGAATCAATGACCTTAAGCTCTATAGAAGAAACTTGGCAGAGCGTTGTTGGGACAGTTGGTACAATGTGACATTTTAGTGAGGTTGAGAAAAGTCAAACCACAGAGATTTGCGCTAATGATTATGATGGTGGCTTCTTGACGGGACCTACAGGACTCTTTGTTCTTATCTTTTTAATTTTTCAATGGCTTGAAATTACAACCTGACTGATTCCCTCCCAGTGGCTGTTTGAGACGGACCAAACCTTTCTGTGAAATTCAAAGGTGCTGAGTAATCTCAACCAGTCCATCTGTCAGACCCATGCAGTGCTGGTGTTATCAACACCGCTGTTCACCAGCAAATTGTCAGTTAACATTTATGGTTATGAAACCATTTACTTCGTCCTTGTGCATGTTTTTTTTCTCCTGTTTCTCCTCTGTTTAACCAAATTAAGATAAAACTTGACTAATAAATCAAGCAAACCTGGATACCACCACATGGTAATGCTTGGTACTTTCACCTGGTGACCTAAATCTAATGTGACAAGGCTCTGCATTAGTGTGCCCATATGTGGCATGTACTGATTAGAGTATCTCGTGGTGACTTGGGAGCAAAGAACTGCACAATTTAAATGTGAAGTAGTGTTTTCCTCCTACTTAAGGCCTCTCATTAAGACCCCATCAAGTTAACTCGGAAGTTCTGAATAATTGCGTGTGGTCCTTATCTTGGCAACCCCTTCACTCATAACACTTTTGTCACTAGTACATAAAGTGGAGTAGTCTCTTGCTGTTACATCATTCATATCTGTATGATGTTTTAGTGCTTTTTTCCTACCTTTTTTTTGCACATTTTAACTAGCATCCTTTGATGTTCACTTAATTCAACAAAGAAATCCTTTATACAGCACAAGAGATGGAAAGAAATTATGTAGCGCTACAGCATTTTCAATTATACCTTCAGTAAATATGGGTTTCTATTCTCCCTATTTCTTAACAGAGCCATTGGGAGAAAATCCATAGGAACTTTGAGAGTTTTGGGGGACATAAATCAAACCCCCACATTAGTACCCATGCTCTTTCACTTTTCTTTTTCGCTTTCTTCTCTGCACTTTGTCTAATAATAGTGCGTGTGTATATCCTAAGATGAAAGCACCTATGGTATCAAAATAAATGCCTTATCAGTTATTTAGTCCTTTGCCCTTTGTACCATGTTGTACAAATGGTATTATATAGATGCAAATACACCAGCCTTTTGAAAGATGGCCCAAAAAGCATTCCCTATCATAGTCATCTCAAGATAACTACAGTGGTTGTGGTTCATGTGGCTCTCTTGCTCAAGACCTCAAACCACTTCAA